ATGAGAGCACAACATTGAGAGGGAATTAGCACAGTTTAAGAGCTGGGACAAAGGGAGCAATGGCCCCAAGGAAGCTGCCTACCCAGGCACAGCACAGTTGGCGCTGGCACTTCTGTCCCTGTCTTGCAGGGCTTCAGCTCATGCTCTGCCTCAACAGGCTCCCTCAAGAACTCCCTAAAGAAAAGGGCTCCCCAAATTTCCATCTCTCATATGGATGAGAAATGCCTTCCCCATGGCAACACATCCCCAGTATCAGAGAGAGTTTGGAGGCTAGAAAAGAAAGAGGGAAGAAGATAAAAGCACATCTCTAGATTCTCCCAAAAGAAGGAGCTTAAGCCATTTACAGGACAGCCTTCAAAACATTTTCCATCTTATCCCCTTCCTGCCCAAACAGCACTGGAGCAGACCCCCAACTATGAATTTGTTTCACATCCCAGGAAATCTTTTCATTTCACTCTCTGCTCCACATTCATACCACTCAATATTTATTTCAAATGCATTAACTATAACACAAGTGGCAGATCCAAATGATGCATCCTTCGGCTCCCACGGCTCTGATGAACTGACATGGTTTCGTGCCCTTAGCTCACAGTAATCTTTAAGTGTCACAAGGGTTTGGGCTCATTACCAACTTACAGTCAATTTTCATCGCCACAAATCCCACCTAGCTGTTTCTAAACAGCACAGGACCCAAATGAAACTCAAACCCCTGGAGAGGATAAAACTCCAAGGTTTATTACAGTGGAGATTAAAATTCAATATTGAAGCAGAGCAAATTGTTAAAATGCTGCACAGCTTTAGCTGTTCTTTGCTCAAAGAAGCAGTTAGGTAACAGTAAGTTGGGTTCAACACAGCTTTATTAACATAAATTCTATTTGTTGAGGGCTCTAAAGGAAGAACTGATGCTTACGCCTTGCACTTTCAGAAACTGGGTACCCAAAGTGATTTTCTTGCCTTTTCAGGAGACTAATGCAGCTCAAGCTGCAGCACAAGGGCGAATAAGTTACTGCATTGCTGAGTGCCTGTGCTGGCATTACAATGACATCAAAGGTCTGGCTACTAAGTGCTCTGAGAGTACTTAAGTTTTATTTAAGGAAGCCCTTCCGTCATGGCAGATTCTGTAAGATAATAAGGCTTGTTGATAACACACTGGTTTTCTCAGTGAAAACCTTCCCATATCATCTGGGTCTTTTGGTAACACACCCTGCAAGGCCTCAGTGATAATGAGACTCAGATCAGTTCATACATGGTCTTGCACAAATGCTTTTCTCCTTGTCTTTAGCACCACATAGAAAATGAATGAAAGTTCTTGCTCTGTAGGATGAGCCAAGAAATTTAATGCTGTGCCAGTCCCTCAGTCATGTCTTTCTCATACACCATGTGGTTTTGTGATGTACAAACCAAGATGTATCATTCTGGGTCTCTTCTACTAAGCTGCCTGAAAGGTGACAAAAGTAAAAATAAGAATCAATGTTCAAGCTTTAATTAAAATTTAGCCAAACCACATGGAGGTGTATAAATCAACTTGCACACCATCGAGCCTCATCAACTTACAGCCCTGCCCAACTTTTATGCATCTCACAGCAGGCAATCAAAACAGCACCAAAAGTCTCCCACCTTTATCACTTTGCCTTTAAAGGAAGTGAAAGCTAAAATAGGTAGGCTGCAAGTACAGAGTGATCACATTTTTCTCCCTTTGTCTGCCCTTTTTACAGAGGATTACTCCCACTCTCCTCACCCCAGTTTTACCACAAGGGATTATCACTGAGTTTGCTGGACTTAGTCTTCATTTGCAGCACAGAAAAGATGACTGGAATCAAGATCTGTGTTTATTTATTTCAAGATCTGTTTCCTGCAGCCAATAAAACTAACTAACTAACTAACTAACTAACTAACTAACTAACTAACTAACTAACTAACTAACTAACTGTTATAGATGGGTAATGTGATGGTTGGCTCTTGCAATTAAGGAATGAACATTATCTGTATGCTAGAGAAATTTTATTGATGTAAAGTTATCTTACTGTGATTTGCTCTCCCCGTAGTCCTCTCTCCCCTCCCGTATTGTTGCCACTAGAGAGCCTTGATAGTGGGGAGGAGGGCAGGCTTGTTCCTAAGGGACGTGGCATGACACCTGGCCTCCAATCAAGCTGCAAGAAAGTACTCTCCACCAATGGATGGTGAAGAAGAGCTGACTGACAGACTGTGGGAGGGGCCAGGATTGCCTGAGACAACCCGGGTATAAAAAGCGGAGAAGCCATTTTGTGAGTGAGCATGTGGCAGAGGGTGATATGCTTGTGGTGCTGTGTCTCTTTCCTTATTTGGTCCTTTGTTTTATTTTGTTAAGGTTTAATAAACCTTTGAAAATTTAAAAAAGTGAGCATAGTTTCACTCACTCACTCACTCACTCACTCACTCACTCACTCACTCACTCACTCACTCCATTTTCTATGTTTGATTTCCAACCCATGTAGGATACAAGTGTGGTAATTTCATCTCCCTGGGCTGGAATGACCTATGTTAATGTTATGAATGATGTTCTATTTTTTCCAATTTATCAAGCAACAAGATTAAATTTAATAGTAAGTTTTTAATAGTAACAAAATGAATACAATCAAAGTATTGGAGATGACAATTAAAGTATTGGAGATGAAACAATCAAAGTGCATATATTTAAGAATATACAAAATTTGGCAGTAAGTAATTTAGTATAATTGAGGTTCGTATAAAGCATAAGCAAAACCGACTGGGGAGGGGCCCCCCTCCAACCGGGGATACGGGAAGTGGCTCGCCATTCCTCACGTACCAAAGCATCCAGGCTAACAGTCCTACTTTTATACTGTAGGCTACAGAAGTTTCTAGAAAGCTCCTCCTAGTTTCTATTCCTAAAAACTATGTAACTATACTGCACGGCGCATGCTCTACTAATGGGTTAGGGGGTCTCTCATCCTTTTGAGGGTCTTATTTCCGATGAAGGCTCATCATCTTCATCAGTGACCGAGGTGTGACCCGCAGGTAGCGCAGGCGCACTGTGTGACTGAGCAGATGTTTTCCATAACAAGACTTTAATTGAGTCCCATGCTTGGAATCATTCCATTTTGGCCCATTTCAAGGTCAAAACTTTCTATTTCTAGATGCTGCTTGTCAGACCTACGTTCTTCTACTATTCTTGTTTGACTTTCTTCCAACCTTCTTCTTCGACTTCCAACATCTGGAAGATGTCCTGTGCCCTGTCTCACCCATCTCCCCCCTCACTCTGTAACAATTGTCTTCTATTGATCTAAATACAATTTTGTTAATATAGTTACAACTTAATTAGCACGAATCACATTTATCACAATTCCCCCATTTCTCTTTTTGATCATATTGATTCGTGCTCTAAAAAGTTGGTACTTGGTATTGTCTATGTTTCTTCATACTAGCCTCCAATTTTTCTAACATTTCTTATGTGGCATCCAGCTTTTCACACTCCTTTTCAAATTTGGTTAATATTTCTTATGCCAGGGTATTCTCTTTGCATTCAGTCACTATTTTCTCGATCTTTCTCCTTCGAGTGCAAGTGGATTGTGCTTTCAGTACCATCAAGGAATTTAATTTCCCTTTTGCTGTTGATTCTAGATCCATGAGCATGGCTGTAATTTGCATTCCTTGAATTACTGAGTGGATTAGTTTGATTAGACAGGATATCATGCAAGGTAGAAACAATAGTTCTAAAACAGAACATAATAGCATGAATCTCAATTTTTTTTTTTTCACTACATGCTTCCAGAAAGTTTATCCTACTAATCAGCTTTCAGAATTCCATTTTTGAAGTGGTACATGTGCCACTCTTTTAATTTTATCAGCGAGCTTTGTGATGGCCTCCCCATGATCATCTATTTCCACACAGCACTTAGATTCATTAAACTTCCCACAAACTCCTCCTTTTTCTGCCAATAGATAGTTTAGGGCAATTTCTTGCATCAAATTTGTAAAAAGGTTTTTATTTGAAGTTGGCAAATCCCAGTCGCTATAGTGCTGTTTTAATTGTTTATACACCTCATTCAATTCCCTTAACTCTTTCCCTCTGACCTTTTCTTATCCTTTTTTGTTTCTTTTTGTTTTTCAACTTTCATTATCATATTTTTCAAAACAAAAGAAAATTTTATATCTAGGACAAAGTTGATCATTGTTAGGATAAGGAGTTCACCCATTGAATCTTAAATTTCTTCTTACTCAATAGAATTTTGGACTTTTCACACAATTTTTTAAAAAGGTACAATTGTAACAGGCAGCACTAACGTGTGAATGTGCCACAAAAACTGATTCTATTTTATCCTTGACCCACAGGGATCAGGAATAGTTTATTTACTGCTGGCTTTTGTGTTGCTTGTCTTCTTGTAATTTGTTCCTGCATGGTCTGTTCTTTTTTGCTCCATGCTGTTTTATGGTTTTAGCTAGTTGCCAGGGGTATTATAGTAAGCACAATGAAAATAATTCTCAGGAATTTTAACTTTCTACCTGTCTCAAGGCCCCTTGGGTTGCAGCCAAGGGCCGAGATGTCCATCTTCTCAGTAGCAAAGTTTTTATCCTGGAATTTGTTTCTCTTTGATACCCTTGGCCTCATAAGGTTAGTATGAGCTATTTTAACTTTTTCTGTTCCGAAGATGGCACAAAGTATTCGTAGTTCTGCAGCACTGCCTTATCTCTCTCCCTAGATTGATCAGTTATTTTTCCTAATCCACTAAAGCTCCGGAGATATGCCAACTACAAGATTTGTTTTCACATAACTTGTCCCAATGGCATTCCAAAAAAATTACTAAAAATTTTTTTTTAAAGTTAGCGGTTTACATACACAACTTAAACAAACCAATTGTCTTTTCTTTTTTCTTTCACTCTAGTTACTCTTCACTACAAATTAAAACAATAGGTACAAATAACACAAATTTATGGACAACACTTTAAGCCATGGTTAGTACCTTCCCAGTGTGTTAACTATGTTTTTGACCCTCTTAATAACGGGTGTTACCAGTCTCTTTTTCTGGAGTTGTAGTTCTTCAAATAAATCAGTTAATGTTGACTGTTGGAGGCTTTTGGAGAAATTTTTCAATCCTCCTGGGCTGTTTCCATTGATCAACGAGGTGTCTGATTCTTTCTCATTAGTGCTGTTCTGCCTTCAGGTTCAATGAGGTTGCAGTTGGCAGCTAATTCAGGATGTCCAGACTTTGATAATGCACCTTTTAAAACAACTTTAAACTGGTATTTCAAACAGCAGTAAAATAATATTTTTTTTCACTGCACATACAAAAATCACATTCTCCCTTGGTCCCAAAGTACAGGGGCTCTATGCTAACTCTATATAGACTGTAGCTTTTGGCACCCAGTACCCTCCTTAGCTTCACTCAATTTATTACAATTTTCTTGAGTAATTTGTTTCCTAATTTTAAATATTCTTATACACTCATAAAATTTTACAAAAATGGTCACAAAGTGCTCTTGTGCCCCAGTGAATCCCCCCATGTGAGCTGTCTGGGATCTGTTGGGCCAAAAGTCCTGGCACTGCTCTTTTACCATTGGGCAGAAGAATTCATCCTTCTTCCGGGGTTACCCCCAGCTTCTTCACAGCCTCCACTTCTGCCAAGGAAAAGCATGTTGCCCCACCCTGTGCTTTTGCTTCCTGAAAAGCCACACTCACACTGCCGTTTTCTCCTAGGGCTCCCCCCCTGCTTCATTATCAGCCAAATTGTTTCCTTTTATTTTATGATGCTTGTATCCCTAAATAATCTGTTCAGTTGGTGTTGAATATTGAATTCTGCAGCTTTAAGACTGATTCCAGGAGTGAAAGAGGGAAGAAAAAGTGCAGAATTAGTTATCAGAAACTACACTGACTCCCCCGCATTCCTGCTCACAGACCTAATTGTCTGCAGTGGACAGCGGGAGAGAACTCTCTTTTGCTTTTTGGTTAATTTTTTTTTTTCTTAACCAATTAAAGTAAAAAATTCCCTGGAGTGTGTTTTTTTTTTTTTTTTTTTTCTTGAATTATTCAATCTTGCTCTGGACTGAAAACTTAAGAAAGCACTGGAAGCTCACACCGTAGCCCACCTAGCCTGGCCTGGGCCATGGCATTTCCCAGCACTGAAGGAACTGATACAGACTAAGTAAGTCAAGCTGCAACTCACAAAAAAACCTTCTTTTGAATCTGTCATCTTTTTGAAACAACAAGAAGTTTTGCTACTTAATATTGTTCATTTTTATACTGAAAAGTGTTTTCCCTGTTAAATAGTTATTTTCCCCACTTCTCTCTGAGGAAATATTTTTTCTCTAACTAATTAAAAAAAGATTGCTTAAATTTGTTTCCCAGAAAAATTCTATTCAAAAGTTTCCTCCCAAATTTACCCTAAACTAAAACAAAGTCCTTGTGTCTACTAAAAATATGATTTCTTCATTTTGAGAATCTACTTTCAGCTTTATCAAGGGGTCTTCTGGTATTTTGGTTCGTATTAAATAAATGAGCCCCTGACCCCCCTAGTCTTCTTGAATTAATTTTTTTTTATTTTGCTGCCTTTTTTTTTTCCAGATTTTTTTTTTGTGTATGTCCTTTTTTTCTCTTTTTTTTAATGACAATAGAAACAAATGGGTCCTGTACCCCTAGAAACAGGACAAAAATTTTGTAAATGTCCTTTTTTGTGACAAGAAAAGCACATAGGTCTTGTGTCCTCAGAAGTAGGACCTGATTTTTCTTTCTTCTTTTTATTCTTTCCTGATAAATTCTTTGTGTTTGTGGCTGCTTGTATTTCTTGGATTGCTGCCATTAGAATCCTGGCTTTAATTTTTTTTCTCATCTCTCCGAACATACACTTCTTGTGCTTCCTTTAACAACTCCTGAAGCTTCCTATCCTGCCAATCTTCCAATTTTTCTAACTTCTTCCTGATGTCCCCCCTTAAGACTTAGCTACAAATTGTATTTTCAAAAGGACCTGCCCTGCTGGTGTATCGGGGTCCATGCTTGAGTATAACTGCAAATCCTTTTTTAGTCTCACTAACCATTCTGCCAGGCACTTATCTTTCCCTTGGTGCTCACTCAGAGATTTCCCTATATTTTGTCCCTTGGGCACTGCTCCCTGAATTCCTTGGATAATCATCTACCTGAAATTTCTCCTATTATGCCTATGTTCTACCTCCTGATTATTCCAATTTCGATCTGCCATAGGCCATTTCTGATCTCCTTGGTTTGGCTTCTAATGATCTTTATTCCAAGCCTATATTCCTGACTGTCTAATCATTTCTCTCTTCCACTGTAAACAAGATTCCTAAAATAGACTGCAATTCCACTTAGGTGTAAATATTCAGTCCCAATAACTGATCTAGTTTCTCTGCTACCTCAATATGATCTTCTAGCATCCTGCCCATTTCTTTCTTAAATTTCTTAAAGTTCCTAGTATGCAGGGGAACACTCACATAACTAATAGGTCCCTGTCCTGAGGCCAGATTTGCCATTGGAACCTCTCTAAGAGGGTATAATCTATCTTCCCTTCCTGCTTCCTCGCCCTCTTTGTCACTTTCTTCCTCTTGTTCCCTTCTGCCTCTAGTTCTGTGTGCTACTGGCTCGACTTGAATAGGGGGTGCATCGGGGACCAAGGGCTGAACAGACTGGACAGGCTGGACAGGCTGTCTGTATGGGGGTGGGAGGTGATTTAACGAGTCTCATGGCTTTAGCCAGTCCCTTCTTGCTGCCCGTCCTTTAGTTTGCAAAGGGTATAACGAATAACCTTCTTTTTCCTGCCTTTGAACTATAAATTCACCCCCCTGCCCCCCTTTTTGGAAGCCACAAAGCAGCATATTCACTTTCCTCCTGGTTAGAACGTTCTTTTGAACTCACATATAGATTTAAAACCTGACAAATCCAATCCTTAAATGTTCCAAACTCTGACCAGTACAAATTATTTGCACAAATCTTTTCTTTTGTCCACTCAAACATACAGTACTGTATAATTTTCTGCTTACTTTTTCTCTTTGGGATTCCCTTGTACCTTAGTATTGTAACACTATCCCCAGGGGGCTGTCCTGAGGAATCTCGCTCCCTTTCTTGGAAACCTCCTCTCGGTTCCCAGGCACACTGGCTTCTTGTGAATTTTTCTCACACTTCGCAACCCCTAGGTCGGAGATTTTACTTTTCCTCTGAACCATCTCTGGCGGCAACATCTCCCTTGCTCTCTCTCACTCGTTCTGCGGTTCAACTCTTTCGCTTAATATACATCATTTCACTTCTTTTGCCAACCACTTGTTTCCCACCTAATTCCTTCTTTTCCATTTATTCTCTCCCCAACTTCTCTTTCTGGCCACTCTCCACAATCCTTCTTAATCACATACTGAAACTTCCATTTATTATCCTTCCAACAGATAGTTGAACCTGATTCATTCACTCCCTTCTTAAATCACTTTTCCGAGCATCAGTTCCCTTCTCAAAGACTTTTCCCGTGAGTTCTCGGGCTGGGACTTTCCGTCCCGGTTCCTCCTGGGGTATTCACTCGCTCTCCCCTTTCAGACATTCCTCACTCACACACAAGCACACAGCCGCCCCCTTTACCCAACCCCATGGTACTCACACAGCCCGTTTTCGCACAGGGTTCTTGTGCACAAGACGTTTTACGGGTACCTTTCCCTTTCTGCCGGCATTCCCACGGGAGCCTTCTTCTTCTGGCGCGCCTCCTTGTAGCTAGCTTCTTTTGCTTATGCTTTATTTTAATCTGGAACTCCTTCTCCAAGAGAGCCTGGTCTAGCCTTGGGACCACCTTAACAACTGGTGGGGAGCTCCTTCCCAAAACTAGCCACTCTTCACCTGGACTGGAGTTCCCAGGTTTCGGCACCAAGTTGTTATGAATGATGTTTTATTTTTTCCAATTTATCAAGCAACAAGATTAAATTTAATAGTAAGTTTTTAATAGTAACAAAATGAATACAATCAAAGTATTGGAGATGACAATTAAAGTATTGGAGATGAAACAATCAAAGTGCATATATTTAAGAATATACAACATTTGGCAGTAAGTAATTTAGTATAATTGAGGTTCGTATAAAGCATAAGCAAAACCGACTGGGGAGGGGCCCCCCTCCAACCAGGGATACGGGAAGTGGCTCGCCATTCCTCACGTACCAAAGCATCCAGGCTAACAGTCCTACTTTTATACTGTAGGCTACAGAAGTTTCTAGAAAGCTCCTCCTAGTTTCTATTCCTAAAAACTATGTAACTATACTGCACGGCGCATGCTCTACTAATGGGTTAGGGGGTCTCTCATCCTTTTGAGGGTCTTATTTCCGATGAAGGCTCATCATCTTCCTCAGTGACCGAGGTGTGACCCGCAGGTAGCGCAGGCGCACTGTGTGACTGAGCAGATGTTTTCCATAACAAGACTTTAATTGAGTCCCATGCTTGGAATCATTCCATTTTGGCCCATTTCAAGGTCAAAACTTTCTATTTCTAGATGCTGCTTGTCAGACCTACGTTCTTCTACTATTCTTGTTTGACTTTCTTCCAACCTTCTTCTTCGACTTCCAACATCTGGAAGATGTCCTGTGCCCTGTCTCACCCATCTCCCCCCTCAGCTTAATACAGTTTTGTTAATATAGTTACAACTTAATTAGCACGAATCACATTTATCACAGTAAGAAAAAACCCACAACATTCAGACCATTACTTGATAGTTTGGTCTGCATCCACATCAACAGACTGAAAACTGAAAACAAATTAACCATTCTCTCTGTTGGCTGATGCCAGTCACATTAAAGGGACAAGGCTCCCAGCTCAAACTTATCCAAGCAAGTAAAGTAACATCTTGAGTTTTGTTATCTTTAGTACAATGGCAGCCAAATAGCTGAAAACTTTAAAAACTAATATTCTAAAACTTTATGCTTCATATGCTAGAATTTGTAAAACCACACTGCAATCACTGAAGTAGAAAATATATCTATGGCTATCAGATAAATTTATTTTCAGCTGTGAAAAAAATATATTGCTATCTCACATAAGGCAGTATCCTGGCATCCCAAATATACCAGCCAATAGCCCGTTGGTCTAATTTGTATATCAAGGATATTGCAAGTGACCCATACATGAAATGTGATGGTGGTATTTGTGAGTAGATTTGTAGCAGCAGTGTAAACTCATTGACTTTTATAAAAAAGAAATAGAAAGATTACACACCTGGATCTCTGCTAAGAGGTGCAGAAGGTCACTAGCAATGCTACCTATGCAGTCAGAGATGTTTGTACCACAGATACAGTGAGAAACTACAAAAATGCATTCCCACACTGTAGTTTCCTTGCAAACCACTGTGCCCACCACTTCTCACCTCCCATATCCATGGAAAACACAACACACACTAAGGCCCTGAGCAAACTAGCAGTTGTCAGAGCAGCAGCATCTTTAATAATACTCATTAAAATCTGATTATTGTTTCCTATGACACACAAAGAACCCAGACCGTTCTTTGGCTGTGCCACTCCATAGGTCACTTTTTTCCATGTCTTTGAAAACCTTATTTAGTCCTTTTGAATTCCAGCTCATTCACTCCCTTCTGAAAGAATCTGCTGTTCCCTCCATATATCCAGACCTGAGGAAACGGTTATAGGAAACCCTGGGCATTTGAAGCTTCACAAAAAGCTAGTCCCAGAGCCTTCCAAACCCTGCCCTGACCCTGGAAAGCCAAGCATGGTCTCCTCCTGCTAATGAACAGCCTTTCCCTGCAAGGCTTTATCCTTATCCCTGCAAGGGAGCTTTTGCCTTAGAAGCTTTGTGGCATATTATGGCATAATTGCTTTCTTAATGATATTCAAATGTCAAATCTTTGATTCATTACATCTTACAATATAATTCCATTTTCATGTCAAGTAGAAGATCTCCATGGTGTTTCAAGCTCCCTACCCATGGCAGGGGGTTGGAATGAGATGATCTTTAAGGTCCCTTCCAATCCAAACCATTCTGTGGTTCTTTGATTCTAGGTTAAAAGACATTTTAAGGAAGCTAAGCCTGAACTTTAAAAATAATCCCCATTATTAGAAACCAGAGAGACACAGAAATAAATTTATTTTCCTAGTTTTAATTAATTAACTCCTCAAAAGCCATTTAGGAAGGCTTTATCTGAGACGGAGTCATGCTCCATGAGCACACTTTTTCCATGGGCACATATTTGTAATTGAGGGAGGTGTAGATAACACACATTTGGCCAATACCTCATTCCATGGTACTTCCCTCCCCACGTGCTCCCTTGGCTGTTCCTCTGTGAGGGAGGGATGCAATGAACACCTCAGGTAAAAACCAAATCACACCATTCAAGATCGTGATAATGGCACATTTAAAACAACACCTGGCAGAAGTACTTGCAGATGGGACTGAGTCATAAAAGAAAAGACTGCAGCTACAGTGTTTCCTTCAAGGAATGCTGACAAAGTACAATTTCAGGAGCCTTGACACTAAGAAAGAAGGTTGACAAATCAGGAACACTTCCCAAGAAAATATGTTACCAGCAACGTCCTGCATCATTCCACCATGATGGCACTGCTGTGAGACAGTGTCAAGCCTTGTGGAGGTTGCACTAGTAAATAAAAAAATGGGAGTAGTCCTCAGAATCAAGCATGAAACTAATCCCTAGCTCCAAAGCCATCATCTATTGCTTATCTGCATGTCAGCTTTTCTAATACACTGTCTATAAGCTTGAAAATATCCCAAATCTATATCAAGAGGTAGGGGGGAGAAGGAGTTGAGGCCACCTTTTAACAGTGCTTTTTCACAGCCATTAGGAGACTGCCTTGCACTATGAGACTGCAGATGCAGGTTTTGACTCTAAAACGTACAACAGTGAAATAATCAGCTATCTCTTAGATAGGACCTGGAACACTGATCTATATGGCTGGGATTATCTTTATTCCTTACAAGTTTAAATATGAAGCTTAACTAAAGATCACTCAAACACACATCATGATTCAGACCATGAAAAATAAATTCCATTATTCTTCCTATCTGCAAAGGCCAGAACTAAGGTTGGGGAGCATCATGACCTAGAAACTCAAGAGTTTTTAAATTAAACTATCCTGACCTTGGTGGCAGTACATTGCCCTAAATTCAACCATCTCAGCAGGGCATGCATATTATGATAGTACCTTTATATATATTTATGTACATAGTGCACACACAAGGACACAGTGCAGCAGTAGTAGGGCCCAATTCTCTGTGCGTCTGAGACAGAAGGACACAAGAGCTGCTTGCTAGCAAATTCAGCACTGGCAGCCTAACAGTCAAAAATCGTGCCCTAAACTGTCAGCCAGGTCCCCAATAGGAGTGAACCTTGAAACATACATCTGCTTTTGCAAGTGAGCATCCACTGCATGGGAAAGCTTACGCGCTCAGAAAAACACATTCCAAATTAGTAAATAAAAATTCTAGGAATGGAACCGTACTGCTTTTCCTTTAATGCTGTATTACAAGGGAAATAGTAGTATTTTCTGCAGAAGCAAAGGCATCTAATGAGTCAGAGCCAACAGCTTTCAAAACATGGCCAGCACCTGGTTTGGACTTGTTTGCTTCATTATTTTCTTTCCCTTTGCAATGTTTAAATGGTGTTCTTCAGCAGGGATTCATCCCTTTCATGGGGGATGGTTCCCCTTTCTACTCATGCCATGGAGAGAAGGTCATATTGTCAGCCTTTCAGCCTTAAACTTTCCTAACCTGAATGCTGGCAATACCTGGAAACCGATGTCTTGGCAGGAGAGCTATTTATGTTTGACACTTGCTTTAAATGCACAGCCAAAAGAAATTTCCTTTCATTAAAATATATAATCAGAAATTGATAGAATATTCGTGTTAATCACAAAAGCATTGAGATTTGCATAAACCAGAATGCTAAGCTCTGAAGTGAAGAAGCATGGACACTAGATAAAGGAAATTATATGATTA